GAGGAGATGGAAGTACAGCGTGGCTGTATCCACTCCTGGGGAAAAAAACCAGGAAAACCAGAAAACCATGAGCCTCCACAGCAAGGCACCAAAGAGAAAAGTCCTGCGACCATCAGGGCACGTCACCTTCAAAGCTTCCTAATGCGTGGGATGCTCAGATCTGCATCTCCCAGCACAAACAAACCCTCAGAGGAAGCAGTGCTGGACAGCAGTGACGTGAGGGAATAACAGAGAGAAATCAATATTGAAGATGTTGACAGCTAGAAATGTCAGCCCAACTAGCTCCAAGGAGTCCCATGGAAGACCAGGCTGGTTTGGGCTCCAGATGAAGACACTTTACCATCAGTGGGAAGAATGGGTATCCACTCCACTTACCACATTGTCAGCCCAAGAAGAGACAAGTAGAGAAAACTTTTCCTCCTCTATCCAGCAGGATTAACACATATTTACTGGATTATCAGAGGTGCCAAGATACAGGACCCTCCTTGCATTACTTGTGGGTGAAACTTCACCAACACTAGCTCAATGGAGGGGACAGGCTTATTTCCTTCTTGCCATCATCTTGATCATGTTGAAGGCCTGCTTGAGACTCAACTGGGGAGCAGAAACATGCATCGGGTTCAACCTTTAAAGATGGAACTGGGACTAGATTAGTTACAATGGAAAGTATTTCCCGACTGACTTACAGCAGAGAAAGAAAGGTCAGGAGACTCAAAAGCAGGCTCAGGGGAAAAACATCAAGGCTGCTGCTTTAACCACACTCTATTCTGTCGACTTCTTCACTCGCCTTTGATGGAGAGAATAAGAAAAGCCCTTGCACTTCCAAGCGAACACGTCTTCACCCATTATATTTTATAATATAAATAGACACATTTGAGATTTCATAAACACACAGAGCTGAAGACACATTGTCTTCAGTCTACTGCCCATCCACAGACCCTGCAGCAAGCACCCTGGAGTGCCTGGATCCAGACTCCAGCTCCCAGCCACACGGACACACCTGAGCTTTCTGTCGGCTGTTTAAAGTCATCCCATGGAGGGAAAAGAGAAGACAAAGCATCCAGAGTGCTTTTTAAACAGACCAGGTCTGGGGACTGCCCTGCTCCGGCCAAGCGAGAGCAGGTTGTGAGTGAGCATTTGATTTCTCCTGGTCTGCTCCTAGCAAGTGACCCCTTTGCCCTGCTGCTGCCTCCTCTCAAAGCCCAGTCACGGTCAGCGCCGCCCGGCACCAAGCACTTCTCAGCCACCTCAGACGTGTTGAGGAGCTGGAGCCTCCATCCGAGTGTCTGATTTCACCTGATCTAATTGCAACGGGTGATTGGAGGGGCAGGGAGGGAAAAAAAAAGGAGATCTTCCTCTCACCTTAGCCAGTTAGACAGAAAGCAACACCACCACCCCAAACCTTCCCTCTCTACTATCACACACCCCGAGCTCTGCCGCAGAAGCTGCCTGCCTTGAGCTGGATGAAGACCCATGTCAGCACTTTTGGGGTCTGTTGGCTCACTTCTTTTCTGCTAATGTTGGCAGTGGCTAATTGGAGAAAGACCACAAGGGTGAAGGCAACACATCTGGGAACATCAAGCAGAAACTTGCTCCAGGAGCCAGCAACAAACAGAAAAAAGATCTTCAAGAGTGACTGTGGGTGCCTAGCCTGAAATACCCAGAAGGATTCAGTTTTCAAAGGATGGAGCCTCAGGGATTCCTGAACATTGTGTCCTTCCCAGAAAATCAGTCAAAGAGATCCTCTAGTTGCAAATGGTGGTAGAAGCTGCACAGCCAAGCACACCATAACTGAAAGCTCTGTCCAGCCACACTGCCATGTCCATGCTCCTCTCGTCTCCCACACCAGGCAGGAACCAGCCGAGCCAGCAGCGGGGTGGGAGACTCCTCAGAGCAGATATAAAGAACCAGGGAGGGCTCCTCAGCAGGAGTCCCCCCTCCCTTCTGCCCATCCAGGTGAACAAAGGCACCATGCAGTGCCAGGAGAGGACACTGCTGCGTGAGGACCATGTGCTCAGGAACAGCACTTTAAGATCTACTTTTCCTCAAGGAAAAGGAAACCCTAAAAAGGAAAAAACCCTTAAATTTAAAGCGCTTTGGTTGACTCAATATTTTCTACACCTTAGCTTAAATTTGTGTCGTTACTCTTCCTAGCAGCTTTTGCATTGTCCCCCCGACACAGCTACAACTCTAGATATTTCCAGAAACCCATCAGTATCAGATCTGGCATTTCTACACAGAATGTCACCCCCTATTCAAAACAGACTGAGGCCTCCAGAAAAGACCATGTCTTGGGTGCACCTAAAAGAGCCAAAGAACCTCCCAGCCTCTAGAGGATCCCTGGACTGTGCTGTCTCCAGAAGGTCAGGTAGATTTCCCAGCACATGGTGGCCCCATGACAGCAGTGGACATGCACACTGCACCGTGGGCATGTCACTGCCAAGCTCCTCCAGCCATGTACGTGGTGCACGAGGTGGGAGCAACCATATGGCACAGGGTACGTGGGGCACCAGGCAGGAGCACCTTAACAACACGGGGCACACAGGACACCGGGGAGAACCCAGCATGAGAAGGAACAGGTCCAAAGGGAAGGGGAAGGACCAAGGCAGGGCTCTCGAGGCTGCAGCAGACCACACTCAGGCTCTAGGTTTTAGTGGACCCATGTTTCACTTTGACAGTGTTCCCAGCACTGGGGTCTTCTCTCCAGCCCCCACCAGCTCTGACACCAGAGCCTCCAGCTCTGGGTTTCCCAGCAGGCAGCAACTCCAGCCCCCACAAGGGAGCTGGAGTCCCGAAGGGGCAGCCCCAGGGCACCCCTCCAAGGAGCAGCCAGTGGAGGGGGTCAACCCCCAGCCCCACTTCTCCTCCTTGGAGGCAGGGAGGAAAGCTGAGCTGGGGGCGGAAGGAGCCAGCGGGCCTGGGAGTGACACCTCACAGATTAGGGAGGTATGTGGCCTGGAACCTAAACACAGGATGTGCAGTGCAGAGGAAAGGCTGGGGGAGGGAGCGCCGAGTTCGGCACAGTTAACCCCTTTGTGCGCTGGGCCTGAGTGGAGCTGCCTGCAGATCCTCTGACGTGTCCCAGCAACAGGAACATGGCAGAGACCACAGGGTACAGGATTAACTCCTTCAAGCTCCACCGGTCTCCCTGGGTGCACCAGGGAGATGCACCATCCCTGCTCTGACACCCCTGCCCCTCCAACAGTGACTCCCTGCAGAGCCCACACAGTCCCATCCTTCCCAGCAAGAGATGTTGCCTGTCAGCTGTTCCCTCCGGAGGCCCAGATGTGGTGGTTCCTGTCCTGCTTCCTCAAGCTCAGGGCTGTCTCAAGCAGGAAGGGGAGATAAGGGAGAGCCAAAACTGCCCGGTTCCCCAGGTCAGGGTTCGCCAGGAAAGCCTGCTGGGGCCGCGCCAGCAGAGCCCCGGCGGGTGGAGGGCTGCCAGGCTGGGGATATAGCTGTGGCCTCGCGGATCCGGCACACTGCACGGACAGGACTCATGCATAGCGAGGGGAGATTCAGAGGAAGCATTCAGTCTACTCTAGGTCTCTTGAAATATGGGATGATAATTTAAACCAAGTCTCCTCCAGCTGGTAGAATAGCAGTGTGGGGACCAGAAGGACAAGTGGATCAAGACATTGGCCCTGATTTGGAGACCTGCAACTTGTACCATGGGAAGACAAGAAATAGCAAAAGTCACGTCTGTGAGGAACGGCCATTTTGGGATTGGTTTTGTGGCAGACAGGAGGTGGGCAGAAGCCTCTTTCTAACCAGCAGCACCTGAATTGCCAGGGGCTCCTAAGACACGTCCAGCATGGTGGAGCAACTGGCTGTGACGGGGCCCCCACACCAAGATGGAGAAGAAGAGATGTGACCCACAGTGAAGCAGAAGGGAGGAAGTGTGTGGCCAAGCAGCCTCTCTCTGCCCGGGGTGCTCACCTCTGCCTTGTACATGCGGATGAGGCCCTGGTTGACCTTGGACCAGGAGGGCACAGCACTGATGTTCCAGAGTTGGTTGGAGTGCTCAGCAAAGGGGCCTGTCTTCATCTGAAAGAGACCCAAAAGCAGGGCTGAGGGAGCCAGGCCAGCCAGGGAGCTCGTGCACCAGCAGTGACTCACGCTCACACTCTCTCCAAGCAAACATTCCCACCAAGCCCTGTGACCCACACACCAGCCACCTCACTGCGCCTTCCCCTCCCTCCCGCTGCGGCCACATCACATGAAGCCGTGGCAATCCAGCTCCCCCGCTTCCCTGATAACACAAAGCTTTTCCTGCCACACTTTCCTAATCAGAGCTCCCTCTGCACACCTCCCTTTTAATGACTGCATTAAAAAAGCCCCACGTAAGTCCCGTTCTCCTCCCCAGTAGAGCTTGGCTCAACACTGTTCCTATTCTACCCAGAAACCTCCCAGTGCAGCACTGCTGGGCTTTCCAAGAAAATGACTCATTCCCCATTCATTTCAACAACAAGCAGCAGCGACAACCGCCGCTGCCTTCCCTGAATGCAGAGGGCAGCGCAGGTTGGCAGCAGCTCCGGTGTCCACAGCCCACTCCACACCTGCCTGGAGCAGAGGAGTGCTACGAGGGGAGGCAGGAGCAGAGGGGACATGCTCCAATCCCGCTCTCCAAACTGGCTCCAGGGCTGTGAGTTGCCACTTTGCAGCAGATGCTTTTGAATTTTTTGCTTTTTTTTTCTTTTCTTTTCTTTTTTTAAACACTCCAGTGTTTCTCCCCTTCCAAGGGCGAGGCGTTTGGTGGAAGGAGGGCAGGGGGGAAGCTGCAATCAGGGACAGTTGCATGTTGATTCCCTGGGTAGTTGTCTCTCTTTCTCCTCCATGAACAAAAACAGACCCTCGGGGAGAAAAAGAAACACAACGCAGCCACTCTGACTGAGCAAAGTTCCCATGACATCAGAAACCACAAGGCCGAAGCTCACGCTAAAAAAGAGCGTGGGGAGAGAGGAATCTCTTGGACTCTCTTTCTTGACTCGAGGCTTGAACAACTAACCCCTTCCCTCCACGCACGCACAGGCCTGGAGCGAGGGTGGGAAAAAGCCTCCAAAACCACCTCTCTGCCTGCTGTAAAAGCAAGCAAAGCCGATGGATCTGCTCTGGGAAACTGCTGCTGCCCTTCTGTAAGGTTTGTGTAGCACCAGCCCACAGCAGAGAAAGGAAGAGAGAGGGAAATGGGGTGGGGGAACCCAAAAAAACCCCACTGCTTGGAGGACAACATGTTTCAAACCTGCTGACCTCAGGGCTGGAGCACCCAGGGAAGCGGGTCTATGGTTCTGCCCGCTGCCAGGAGAGCACAGACACATCCCCACTTCCCCTCGGTGGTTCTCGTGTGCTGGGGGTGACAGATGAGCCGCTCGGCCATTCAGCTCCCCTCTGCCACGCGCGCTTTCCTCGCGGGTACGAGATGAGACGCGCAGATACACAAAGCACAACGTTACCCAACAGAGCCAGCGCGTTACTAACTGTGAGGATTTAGCAGTGAGCACCCCAGTTAAAGGCTGCCGGGGAGCTCAGCGCCACTCAATTCACCCAAAGCATTTCCCCCCCGTATGGGAGATGTGGCTGCGTGTGTTTCGACACCAAACCTTCCTCCAGCATCGCCGCCCTTCGCAGGGGCACAGCTCACATCAGCCATCACCACTGCGCTCTGCTTCTCCCCTCTTCCCCAGCCGCGGCGAGCGTGCCAGAGAGCGTGGAAGCGGCGAGCGCAGCTGCCTGTCCCCACGCTCACGCCTGGGGCTGTGCGAGCGCCTGGCACGGCTGCCGCCGCGGTCCTTCTCACCCAGTGTGCCCACTGAAGGATGGCTTAGCTATGGTTTCAAACTGGGGAGGGAAAAATAAGGAGAATGAGGGGGGAAACAAACAAAAAAATAAAATATTTAAAAATCATCTCCTTCCAGCCACAAAGGGCAAAGAGGGAGAGCTGGGGGGAAGAGCGAGAGGCAGCGAGCGCGCTGCAGTCCCGCAGTGACCCCAAGGGAACAGAGTGAGTCAGAGCAGCCATATTGAGCAGGAAATTACTCACAGACGCGGCGTTCCTGCCTCTCGGTTCCCAAGAGAATCGGCCTTTTGTAAATGGTTCCTCTGTCAGTGCTGGGGGGGAGGGGGACGGCTGAGGCCGTGCTTTCCTGTCAGCTCCTTCCCTTCCAGCAGAAACCCGAGCCCTCCCTTCCCAAACCTCCAAATTTAGAAGCCAGATTGAAGCTG